TTCCCGTATTTATCTGTCAGCTCTCCTATCTCTGCCTACCAATGTTTCCTTCTCACTCTAAAAATCTCCAAACCCTGGTCTTCCTCTCCTATATTGTTCCTGCCCTTCAGTTCCATGCTGAAAACTGTCAAATCACAAACCTTCTCATCTCACCTGGCAAATAAGAGACTTCTAAAGTATACTGAATGCCTAAGAGAACCTTAAACCACCACACAAGGCATCAGTTTCGCCTCACAGAAAGTAAGGTGGCAAAAAACCACAGTATTTTAGCAATTTTGCTTTTTTTTTTTTTTTTTTTAGACAGAGTCTCAACTATATCACCCTCAGCAGAGTGCTATGACATCACAGTTCACAGCAACCTCCAACTCTGGGGCTTAAGCTATTCTTTAGCCTCAGCCTCCACAGTAGCTGGGACCGCAGGTACCCACCACAATGCCTGGCTAATTTTTGGTTGTAGTTGTCATTATTGTTTAGCAGGCCCGGGGCAGGCTTGAACCCACCAGCTTCAATGTATGTGGCTGGCACCCTACTCACTTAGCTACCGTGTTTCCCTGAAAATAAGACCTACCCAAAAAATAAGCCCTAGCAGGATTTCTATGCATTTGTTAAATATAAGCCCTACCCCAATAAAAAGACCTAGAGATGGGTCAGATACACTGCATAGCCATGCATTTCAGCGGGGAGCGATAAGGAAGACTGGAATATCTTTTATCTGCCAGAGCTCCTTTCTCCGAGCAGTTCGCACTCGTGGTAACCACAGTCACAGGCATCCTATTGCGCACGTGCCAACGGCTAGGGGAAAGGAGTTCACGCATCACTAGCGCCAGCCCCACCAACAAGGTCAGCTCCCCCTGTCAGGTTCCAGAAGAAGGTAACTTAATTGTATCTGAATAAATGTAGATTGTTGTATTATACTTAATAAAAATAAGACATCCCCTGAAAATAAGCCCTAGTGTGTCTTCTTGAGAAAAAAATAAATATAAGACAGTGTCTTATTTTCAGGGAAACATGGTACAGACACTGAGCCAGCAATTTTGCTTCTATGATGGAACTGGTTATTTTGTTATCTGGAAAGTTATCTTGAAGTTTGTCCATGGACCATAATTTAAGAAGCCAAACTTTAACTACTGAACAGTTAGTGCCTAAAATAGGATTTAAAGATTCTTATAAGGAACGCTTATAAAGGAAGAAAATATGCCAAACTGTTAGTAGTGATTAACTATAGAGACTTTAATAACTAAGGACTTTCACTTTCTAAGTTAACCATTGTCAGAATGTTTCTTTTTAACAATATCTCAATTTCTCTTGTAATAAGAAAACAAAAATCCTTTAAATGGGACAGCCCACTGGATTAACCTGTAGGTACCAAATAAAATGCTAATAAAAATGTTTATTAAGGCCGGGCACAGTGGTTTCATGCCTGTCATCCTAGCACTCTGGGAGGCTGAGGTAGAAGGACTGCTTGAACCCAGGAGTTCAAGACCAGCCTAGGAGGACCAAGACCATCTCTACTAAAAATAGAAAAATGAGTTGGCACTGTGGCAGGTGCCTATACTCCCAGATACTTGGGTGGCTAAGGCAGAAGGATCACTTGAACCTAGAAGTTTAAGTCTGTTGAGAGTTACACTGACACTACAGCACTTTAGCCAGGGCAACACAGTGAGACTCTACCTCAAAAAAAAAGAAAAAGCTTATTAAAATGTTAGGTAAGGCCAGGTGCAGTGGCTCATGCCTATAATCCTAGAACTTAGAGAGGCCAAAGCAGGAGGATCACCTGAAGCAGGGAATTCAGGAACAGCCTAGGCAGTAAAGTGAGGGCCCTATGGCTACAAAAACAAAAAACAAACAAATGCTAGGTGTAGTTAAAAAAACATCAAATACAAAAACCACTTGGGGGACTGGGAGTGGTGGCTCACCCCTATAATCCTAGCATTTTAGGAGGCTGAGGCAGGTGATTGCCTGAGCTCACAGGTTGGAGACCAGTCTAAGTCAGAGTGAGACCCCACCTCTAAAAATAGCTGGCCATTGTGGTGGGTGCGTGTAGTCCCAGCTACTTGGGAGGCTGAGGCAAGAGAATCTCTGAGCTCAAGAGTTTGAGGTTGCTGTGAACTATGATGCCACAGCAGTCTACCAGGGGCAACAAAGTGAGACTCTATCTCAAAAAAATAAAAATAAAAATAAATAAGGTGGCTCAGCACCTGTAGTTCAGCAGCTAGGGCACCAGCCACATACACCAGAGCTGGTGGGTTCAAATCCAACCCGGGCCTGCCAAACAACAATGACAACTACAACTAAAAAATAGCGAGACGTTGTAGTAGGTGCCTGTAGTCCCAGCTACTTGGGAGGCTGAGGCAAGAGAATTGTTTAAGCCCAAGAGTTTGACATTGCTGTGAGCTATGATGCCATGGCATCATACACAGGGTGACACAGTGAGACTCTGTCTCAAGAAAAAAAACAAGGGCAGCACTTGTGGCTCAGTGAGTAGGACACCAGCCCCATATACCAAGGGTAGCGGGTTCAAGCCCAGTCCCAGCCAAATTGCAACAACAACAACTAAAAAATAGCTGGATGTTGTGGTGGGCACCTATAGTCCCAGCTACTCGAGAGGCTGAGGCAAAAGAACTGCCTCAGCCCAAGAGCTGGAGGTTGCTATGAGCTGTGATGCCACAGCACTCTACCAAGGACGACAAAGTGAGACTCTGTCTCCAAAAAAAAAAAAAAAATGCATTTTTGGGGACAACTAGGAAAATCTAACTATGAAGTGAATAGTGAATATTATATAATATTAGAGAATTATTATTGATTTTCTGAGTACAATGGTATTCTGGGCATCTAGGAAAACATCTTTAATTTTAGGAGATATATGTCAAAGTACTTAGGTATAAAGTAGAGTGTGATCTACAGTTTCTTTAAAATGATTCAGCCAACACAGTGCAGTGGCTCGTGCCTATAATCCCAGCACTTTGGGAAGCCAAATCAGAGGATCACCTGAGGACAGGAGTTCAAGACCTGGGCAACACAGCAAGATTCTGTCTCAAAACAAAAACAAAATGGGAAGAAAAATGCTACCTCAGTATAACTATGAAATAAAAGGCTTATTTCCAGGGACTTTAAAACTGGGATACATTCCACTTTTATCAGGTACTTAGAATAGTCAAATTCATAGAGACAAAGTAGAACGGTGGGTGCCAAGGACTAGGGGGAAGGAGGTTGGTATATTAGTGATTAATGGGTACAGAAGTCTATTTTGCAAGATGAAAAAATTCTCAAGGCTCAGTGCCTATAAATCAGTGGCTAGGGCACTGGCCACATATACCCAGGGCTGGTGGGTTCAAATCTTGCCCAGGCCTGCTCAACAACAATGACAATTATAACAAAAAAAATAGCTGGGCATTGTGGCAGGCGTCTGTGGTCCCAGGTACTTGGGAGTCTGAGGCAAGAGAATCACTTAAACACAAAGAGTTTGAGTTGCTGTGAGCTGTGATGCCAGAGCACTCTACAGAGGGCAACATAGTAAGACCCTGTCTCAAAAAAAGAAAAAAAGAAAAAGAAAAAGTTCTCAAGATAGAGGGTGGTGATGGTTGTACAACAATGTGAATATACTTAATGCTACAGAACTGCACACTTAAAAATGGTTAAGATGGTAAATTTTATGTTATGTATATTTTACCATAATAAAAAAATAGAAATTGTCAACATTCACATAAAGAAAAAATAGTTAAGTAGGGAAAAAACAAAACTAGGAGATATATACTAGACAGAATTCGCTGAGTCTCTTCCCAACCTCTTCTCATTCTCAGGCCAACTACTCCACTTGTTCTACCACTATAGAGGTATACTCAAGAGGATCACTTAAACCCAGGAGTTCTAGGTTGCAGTGAGCCTGGGCAGGAAAAAAAAAAGGCTTATTTCCAGGGAAATAAGAAAGAACAGAAAGAAGGAAGAACAGAAAATCAGAAAAATACTCACTTTTCCAACAACTAATCAATCCTCTCCCATTTTCACTCTGCATTTCTAGGTTGGACATTGACACCTCTATTTTAAGTATTAAAAAACACAGTCCTTGGAAGGCACCTGTGGCTCAGTGAGTAGGGCACCAGCCCCATATACTGAGAGTGGTGGGTTCGAACCCGGCCGTGGCCAAACTGCAACAAAAAATAGCCAGGTATTTTGGTGAACACCTATAGTCCCAGCTACTCGGGAGGCTGAGGCAAGAGAATTACCTAAACCCAAGAGCTGGAGGTTGCCGTGAGCTGTGATGCCATGGCACTCTACCAAGGGTGACAAAATGAGACTCTGTCTCAAAAAAAAAAAAAAAAAAAAAGACAGTCCCTCTGAATCTCACCTCTTCCTACTGTACTTTGTACAACAATACTCTAATTCTCACCACAAACTGAGGCTTTTAGTTCTTATCCTCAAAAAGGAATTCCCTGAAGTGTGCTAATCCCCCTACATCCCACACATAAAAGTCTGTATCTACTTACCAAGATCTGCTGAGAAGACTTGCCAGTTTTTGTAGAGAAGAATTTTTTTCTTGTTCTATTTCTGAGCACTCCCTTCTAGCTTCAGGTTTTACCACCACCACCTAATTGTCACCTACCAGTGAGAATCACTGTTTTCCAGTAATCAAGACCACACACAGGGCCGGCAAAGTGGCTCATGCCTGTAATCCTAACACTCTGTGAGGCCAAGGCAAGTGGGTTACCTGAGCTTACAAGTTTGAGACCAGCCTGAGAAAAAGCAAGACCCTGTCTCTACTTAAAATAGAAAAACTGAGGTAAGAGGATCCTTGAGCCCAAGAGTTGGAGGTTGCTGTGAGCTATGACACCACAGCATTCTACCCAGGGTGATACCTTAAGACTGTGTCTCAAAAAAAAAAAAAGACCACACACAGAAAGGCCCAATGGTTCATCTTGCCAAAGCTTCAAACATCAATGCTGCCCTCAGGTCGAGCTGCTGCCAGTTCCTACTTTCTGATCCCCTGATGGAGCATGCCTTACCTTTGGTGTCCTGCATGACAATTGAGCTATACTTTAAGAAGGTTATCAGTAGATTACTGGTTTGTACATCTGCATCCAGTGGGAGTTCCACAGAACTTATAACTGGAATAAAACAGATAAAATACACTTAGCCTGTAACATATTCCATCTAACACTTCTACCCACATAGCCAATTTGCCCACAGACAAGAAAATCACTAAATAAGCTCTTTATACAACAGAGGGAGGACCAAGTATTTATAAAGCTTTCTTCCTAGGTCTTTAGAGCCCATTCCTACTCCGAAAATTTAAGCTCTATGACTTTCTCTCCTATCTAGGACTAGTCTTCAGGAACAGTGCTTTCCTCTCAATATCCTATGATGGGTATATTGATTTCACTTTCAGCCCCAAGTAATCCAAAAGAGTTCAGTGCCCTTTTTTTTTGCAGTTTTTGGCTGGAGCTGGGTTTGAACCCACCACCTTTGGCATATGGGGCTGGCACCCTAATCCTTTGAGCCACAGGTGCTGCCCTTCAGTGCCCTTAACGGCACTTTGATTTCTACCTAAAAGAGATTTGTATTGAATAAAAATGAGCATTGCTTCCATGAGTCTCCTGCTTAAAATAAATGGAGAGACTTTCCTAATAAGGAAAAATATTGCTCAATTTTAAGAACAAGTCTTATTTTATTTATTTATTTTGCAGTTTTTGGCCAGGGCTGGGTTTGAACCCGGCACCTCTGGTATATGGGGCCAGCTCCCTACTCCTTGAGCCACAGGTGCCACTAAGAACAAGTCTTGAGGCTTGGCGCCTGTGGCTCAACTGGCTAGGGTACTAGCCACATACACCTGAGCTGGCAGGTTCGAATCCAGCCTGGGCCCGCCAAACAACAATGATGGCTGCAACAAAAAAATAGCTGGGCGTTGTGGCAGGC